GCATGCGTCTGTACACGGATTGTAGGTGCGTGTGCTGCGGTGGGGTATGTGTGGAGGTCAGAGCACAACTTTGTTGAGTCTGTCCTCTCCTACTTCTGTGTCAGTCCTGAGGATTAAACTCAAGTCCTCAGGCTCATACAGCAAGCACCTTTCCTCTCTGACACCATCTTACCAGCATTACTATTACTATTATTGTTATTATTGTTGTTGTTGTTATGCACTTAACAGCTGTCATGTGGTACATCTCTACAATCCAAGCCACTTGAAAGAATGTGGCAGAAGAATCACGTGAACCTGGGAATTTTAGGCCAGCATAGGCGATAGCAAAATGGTAACTCTAAACAATGAGTAAAACACAGTCACCCAAAATAAATGCCCTGTGAAGTGAAGTGCACCAGTGTGGTGATCTGGATCTCAGGCTTCAACTCCGACTGTGTGTGTGTGTGTGTGTGTGTGTGTGTGTGTGTGTGTGTGTGTGTGCGCGCGTGTGTGCGTGTGGGGGGGGGGGCGCTGTGCTGGGATCACACGTGTAAGCTACCATGTCTCGTGGCATCTGCTCTTTTCTCTGTTCTAAGACAGACTCTCACTGTGTAGCCCTGGCTGGCCTGGACTTGCTCTGTACACCAGGCTGGTCCTGTTACCTCCTGAGTGCTGACATTAAAGTATGTGCCCACATCTGCTTTTTAAAGTTTCATATGTGAATCTCATGATCAGCTTTTTAAAGCTCAAATTAATGTATCTTTTCAAACAATATTTTACTCATACTTTTTTTTTTAAATTACGTTATCAGTTGTGTTTGTGTGTACAGAGGACACAACTTTTAAGAGTCAGTTCTGTCCTTCCGCCCGTAGGTCCTGGGGAGAACTGAATTTGAGGCTTTGAATATTCCAGGGAGAGTGACCTACCAGGCTACAGGATTAAATGTCCTACTAACTACCATCAAATATTAAGCTGAACCTGGTTCAGTAAAGTTCACAGAAGGGCGAGAGCTGCAGTTCAGTTGAAAGAACAGTTGCCTAGCGCATATGAATCCTTGGGATTTAATAAAGGAGGCAGGTGGCTCCTAGGCCTGTAATCCCTGCACTCAGAAGGTAAAGACTGAGGGCAGAGGCTGAAGGCTTATCTTTGGCTACACAGTGAGTTGGTGGCCAGCCTACACATTGTCTCAAAAGTAAAATAAAGTGCACAAAATATCCTACAGCATAAAAATATTCTATAGCATACCTGTTTCTTTTGAAACTAGGGTGAGGCTCCCTGCTACCAAGGACGCGCCCAAGCCAAGTCCTGATATTTAAGAATTTTGTGATCCCAGGCCCATGGCAGCTTGAAATCAGCCATGATAGGCATATTATACCACAGAAATCTTCAAATGCTACATGGAGAGCTATTTTTCATTACTTTTTGGGGGGGGCATGAGAGCTAATTTACAAGCATACTACTGCCTACAGCTTCTTTCTCCCCCCCCCTCTCTCCCTTCCTCCCTCCCCCATCTTGTATAAACCAGGTTGGCCTTGAACTCCTGATCCTCCTGCTTCCAACTCCTAACTGCTAGGGTGCTGGGATTACAGGCATGCACTCCATCCATACACAGCATTGTAGTTTTCAAATACTTTATAATTAAACTTCGAAGAAAAAGGAATGCGACTTTCTCGGCCTGTTTTTCAGTGCTGTCCTGGATCCCCTGACACCTAACTCTGTGAGCTGTGTCCCACACTAGGCCTGCTGCTGTCCTCCTGTGTCCTTCCCCGCACACTCGGCCTCCTGCTACTCCTGACCCTGCATCTTCTCTCCAAAGCGCACTCTGCAAGGCTCTCTGGAGTCTCCTGGGTAATGTGTCTACCCCACCCTGCACCTCTAGCCCGGCACAACTGCCTTGGTGTTATTGCATTTCATTTCTCTTTAATCAGCCCCTGACTCTTGAGAAGGATCACTCCGCTCTCACATGTAGTGGGTGCTCCATGAGTTCTTAGAAATTCAGCATGATTCCTGTAGACATACATCCACTTGCCAACCTAGAATCTAAAACATAGACCTGTCCGAGAGTCCAGGGAGATTGCAGATAAAGAAAATGGGGGGGGGCACACTGTCCCTACTAAGTGTCCTCAGGATCTGAGTCCAGCTTCCGTTGACATCACTGTATACCAACCAAAACAGAGCTGGTCTGATTAGATGGGATGTCGTAAGCAACAACAGCTGAGGCCTCGGAGGACGATAAATAGGCTGAACTGTGAGTGACTTATACCATGCTCTCTCACGCAGTCCCCAAGCCCTCCACCAGGAGCTAATCCATCGTCACTTTAAGCTGAGAACAGTTGAGGAGCTTCCCTCAAACTGCAAAGCTACAATAGAAACTTGAGGCTGGCTGTGCATGAAGCAATTGGCAGGAGACTGGAAAACCTAGGCTGGAATAGTCTGTGTGGGTGCTCAGAATCTGGTTTACTAGTGTGTGCCTCTGGAGGCCAAGGCGTCCATATGCAGCCTCTGAGTGAACGGTGGAACATGCTAGTATTTCATCTCTTGGGGGAGGCTGGAGCAGAATTGCTGGAGTGTAAGGCAGGCAGGAACTCTATAGTGAGTCAGCCAGGCAAACTGACATGCTCTCCCCCCCAAAAAGTGAACCAGCTTAGCAGGTAAAGGCACTTGGTGTACAAGCATGATAGGAGCTTGATCCCCAGAACACACACACACAGCGCTCTGTAAGAAAAACTGAAAATGAGAAATGTGACCTCTGACCTAAGCTTTGCTGAGTTCCATCTAGTCTCCTGAATCACTGAGTTTCTCTGGACCTCTGACCTCCTGGTTATATAATTAGAGTAATAAACCAGAATATGTTTTTTATTCATGTTTCATGAATTATACAGTATGTAGCTTAAAGTCTCGCAAGGAAGTCAGTGAGTAGAACATGAAAATAAAACACTGTCCTCCAGGAGAACCAGAATAATCTGAGCGCCTAGAGGAAAAACAGCAGCCAGCTCCTAGTGCCATCATCCTAGCTAGCAGAGTTCCTCCCACCCAGGTGAGATCTGGGGAGTTTGCTAGACATGGGAAGATGATCCCAGGACAGCCCTGGGTCAGCTCTAAAAACTGCAAGTGATTCTCTGTAATAATGAGCAAAGGCAGGAAGGAGAAAATGAAGCTGGGTAAGAGCAAGACTCGAGAAAGGACTTACCCACACTCTTCCTGAAACAGCTTGGACTACTATGGCTGTTGAAAAGCAGTGACAGGTTTTAGACAAGACTGTATTTGCAATATAGTATACATTTCAAATCTTCTTGCAATATGGCATGGTGGGTGTAGCATAGGGATGCAGTGTTGTTTGGGGATACTCTTTATATAACCTAGCTGAGGGCTAAATCCGAGCGTTCCAATGGAGCAGCATGGATGCCTGCCGGCACAGTGACTGTGTCAATGAAAATGTCCACATCAGAGCTGGGCAGTGGTGATGCACGCCTTTAATCCCAGCATTCAGGAAGCAGAGGCAGGCCTATCTGAGTCCCAGGACAGCCTGGTCTACAGAGTGAGTTCCAGGACAGCCAGGGCTATACACAGTACTCTCTGCGGTGACTCGGATATCCAGGCTGAAGATTATCTCTATGAGGCTGTCCCCGGTGGCAGAGGGGAAGCCCTGGAGGGATGGCACGGACAGCTCCTTGCTGCAGCCCTAAGTAGCATGCATCTTCCCTGACTCATAAACTGGGTCTGGTACCTGGCCTCACCCAAGGGTCTAGCCTCTGGTGAGCTAGCCTGGGACTGCCTGACGCCTGGCTGAAGGGATGAGAGGTGCCTTCAATGTGCTCACTGAGAAGACCGTCTAACTGGGTCAAAAGATGTCGCCTTTTCTATTTTGTTTGATTGTTTGAAGATCTCTGTCATTAGAGATGTGTATGGGTCTGTGCATATGGGTGCAGGTGCCAGGATCCCCTGGAGCTGGGGTTAAGCTCATGTGAGCCACCCAACATGGTGCTGGGAACCCAGCTGGAATCCTCTGAGGAGCAAGCAGCCCACCCCGGGCCAGATCTACATACACCCTCCTCCTTTGTCTTTTGTTTCATGGTTTGTTTTTGAAATAGGGTTTGGCCATGTAGTCCAGGTTGGCCTCTAACACACAGAAATCCACCTGCCTCTGATATGCAGCGAGTGGGACCTTGGCGGATCCCATGGCCGGCGAGGGACGGACACACCATCAAGCAGAACTTACGTGGGAAGTTTAATGGGGAACGGGAAGGAAGTAGGAGAAAGAAGAGACAGACAGACAGAGCTGCCTTCCTCTTCAGAGAAATGACAAAGAGAGCAAGAGTGGGCAGAGCTTATCTCAGAGGGACCTTTTGAGTGGCAGGGTACTGCTTGCCATGGGTGCAGGGGTAGCTCACTCTATCAGGTCCCAAGGGGAGGGGCCAAGGTGTCCCTGGATGATAACAGCCACTTTTCCTGACCCCTTGATCTTTTCTTATAATCACAGAAAGAAATTGTAATTCAGTTTGTTGGTTAATGGGAGTTTATTTTATCCTTTACAAAAATGCTTTGTTTCATTCTTCGCAAGTAAAATATTTTGATTTCAAATAAGTTATAGGTTTAATACTATGTCTTGCTTGAACTTTCATTTTGATTTATTTTGTCGACATGAGGCTGTTGTTTTAAGTTTGATTGAAGATGTTAGTGGACAGTTCCTGGGATCCGGGGATCCTGGGATAAGGAATCAGGCTGGTGAATTGTAAGTGCCAGAGAAATCTCTGCTCAGCCCGCACTCTCTGCAGATCAAGGGTTGGGTGTGGGAGGGGATGAAATTGGGCTGATTGCAGCCTATTGTGCTGCTCTGGAGCATGCTCCTATAGCCTTAAGGGATGGTGCTGGAGATGCCTGGAATGACGGCCTCTTTCCTCCATGTGAGGGAGCACAGGCACATCTGTCCCTGCCTTTGTTTCCAACACACACCCCTGGTTAAATTGTGGTACTCACTGTACACCCAAAAACTGACTTATTGTGCTTTTATTTCTTAACAGTTGCGAGAAACAATCAAAGCTGGCAAAGGTGTGACTTCAGCTATTGACCTGTGTCGTTACCATGGAAACAAGGCACTGGAGGCCCTGGAGAGCTTCCCTCCCTCAGAGGCTAGATCGGCTTTAGAAAACATTGTGTTTGCTGTGACCAGATTTTCATGACACCAAATTAAAAAGACGCTATTGTTCTTAGCTGAAAAATCCAGAGATTGGGGTGGACAGGAGAGCTTTTATGATGAGGTAACTAACAAGTTAATGATTTTTAAAACATATTTTTTTTTCCCTGTTCTTTTATCTCGTTGCTTAATGACTCTATCTTTTTTGGAACCACTACAAACAAAATGAGAAGGAAAAAAAGGTCACACAGTTTTCACCTGTCACACCAGAGCACACTTGAGGCTGCAGCAACAGAAATAATTAATGAGACTCACTCCCGTGACCTCAGCAAATGCACAGGAAATAAGTCCTTATTGATTGGACCAAGCCAGGGATGGCGCCGGGGCGATGGCTGTGGTTTTTCTTCTGAAGAGGACAGAGCAAGCTGGGAGCTGCAGGCGTCAAGAGAAACACTGGACTGCAGCCAGGGAGAGCACATCAGAGCCTGGTGGCCCGTCCATTGTAGTGTCGTTCTGAGTTAAGCAAAACTAGGGCTTGCTTGCTGTCTCAACATCATTTCTCTGTGGGTATAATGAGAGAAGCTTATACATCAAGGGTTTTTATCAGATTGGTGAGTGGTGGGAAAAATGTCAGGTCGTTGCCATACTTGGAAGTTAAATATTAAAGAGTTGTCAGGTATTGATTCAATTGTATCACAAATTGTCTGCCTTTCTTTTTTTTTGTTTGTTTGTTTGTTTTGTTTTGTTTTTCGAGACAGTGTTTCTCTGTGTAGCTTTAGAGCCTGACCTGGAACTCGCTCTGTAGACCAGGCTGGCCTCAAACTCACAGAGATCCACCTGCCTCTGCCTCTCAAGTGCTGGGATTAAAGGCAGAGCCCTGTCTTTCTCTCTTAAAGATCAAGTCTAAGACACATTTCAAGCCAAGCCTGGTGGCACATACCTTTAGTTCCAGCTCTTGGGAGGCAGAGGCAAGTGGATTTTCTGAGTTTGAAATCTTGGTCTACAGTATGAATTCTAGGACATCCAGGGCTACACAGAGAAACCTTGTCTCAAAAACAAACCAACAAGGCACATTAGAAAGTCCAATTTTTTTTTTCAAATACAGTATATTCACTTATGATGCTTTGATTTAGGGACTACCTCTCGTTTTTAAAGCTTTCAGAAATGAAATTATTGTAGTGGGATTTCATTGGTGGGAGTTCTATTTTAGCCTCAGAACGTCAACTTCTGGTCTTGAGCCACCGACAGAGTTACAGAAAGAGCATAAGCAACCTCACAGGCTGCAATCGGACACTGTCTCAGCGTGGTTCACGGGAGATGGTTTCTGTGGTTTGCACAAATGCAATACGACGACAATACCATTGACAAGAAGGCTAAGTTTACGTAAATGATGTCGATTGAGACTCAGCCGCCATCCTCCTCTATCTGAAGACAGCAAACACAGTAGCAGATTGTATTACCCACTTCACTCAAATGCTAGGGAAAGCTTTTTCAGTTGAATGCCTCCTCCCAAAAGCTCTATCCAGGCCTAGCGTGTGGCACGCGGTGAGGAGAAAATGGAAGCCTAGAGAGGTTACGGTATTATGGGTGGGCTCCATGATCACACTACCATATTCTGTAGTCCTTAGCTTGTCCATAGAATATTCCGCTCCTCTGTTTGGAATGGCTCTTCTCAGTGAACTTGGCTTAATTAGTGACTATGGCTACAATGCTGTAGCTCTGACTAGGTTCCAGTCATTAACTTCTACACGGAGGAGTCCGGATGCTACTGGGTGAGTCCGCAAGACAGGGAGCCTGCCCTGTACCTCAGGCCTAGCTCACTGTGTGGTCTTTCAGAAGTCATGAAGTCCCTCCCAGGTTTGCGTCACTCTGTGAGTTTACCGTGTCACACCGGAGTGACCACACTCGGGATCCAGCACTTTGGGAGGCTGAGGCTATCGAGTGAGTTCAAAGGCCAGTGTGGACTAAATAGAGCCTGTCTACAAAAATAAATAAATAAATAATAAAATGAAAGTCTACCGTTTCTGACCTCTGCAGAAGATCCAGGGAGGGAAAAAGGGGAACCGCGAGAGCCTCGACAGAAGACAGGGAGCTAGATGGTGAGCTTCTGACCCAGCTGCCTCATATGTGACCTAAGCCATTCCGTCTGCCTTATGTGACATGCTGCATGCATTCTTTATCTTCCCAGCAGCTTCTGTGATCTCTATTCCGTCCCCTCCTTTAAAGAAAAAGAAAGAGAAGCAAAGACAGAGTCTAGTGTGTATCACGGACTGGCCTTGGAATCCCGTGTTCCTGCCCCCTCTCCCAAGCGCTATCTACGTGCACCGAGGTCCACCCGTCTCCCAGGGTCTTCCTGCAGCACTGGAGTTACAGGCACATTCACGAACACAGCCTGCTGGATGGTTTTGTGCTGGAAGAGGGACTCAGCTTCTCATGCTTACGTGATGAGCCATCTTCCTGGCTCCACACCCTGCTCTAAAATCTTTGCTTTCTCCTTCCCTGGCTATACATTCTCATTTCTCCCTATGCCTGAAATCCTTGTCCATACTGTTTGTCTCTCTCCCAGCTTTAGGAAAAACCTTGCAGGCTGTGGTGGCACACTCCTTTAATCCCAGCACTCCAGAGGCAGAGGCAGAGTCAGGCCTGTGTAACTAAGCCTTCCAGGTCTACGTAATCAGTTCCAGGCCAGCCAATGCTACATAATCACACTAAAACAAACAAAACCCCAAAAAACCTTACAGTTAGCTCTCACAGCAGGTTGTTCGTGACTGAGTCCACACCATCTAGACCAGTGCCAGCCTTTTTGGGACATTTATGAAGCAAACATGTGCACCACGCTCTTGAGATGGCTTCAGGACCACAGACAATAAATACCCTTATGGCAGATGCTTAATGACTTGCTATTGTAGCCAGCCCCTTAGCCCTTTGACACACCCCTACCTCCTCTCTTGCCTGTCCTTCCTCTTTCTTCCTTTACCCCAAGAGACATTCTTTTCTAAATATTTTGATTGTGTTTTTCCAGAAACTAAAAAAGCTAAGAACATCTCCTGCTTGGAAAGATAGTGTCCCCGCAGGTTCTCCACCACAGCAGGTCCAACTGGAAAGCCCAGGCATGGTTAAACACCCATAAACCTGGCACTTGGTAGACTTGGCAGGAGGGTCCTGAGTTCAAGGCCAGCCTGAGCAGCAGAGTGAGTTCCAGGCTTTCCTGGAGTATGCGGCAAGAGGCAAGAGTTCATGTCACAACACAAATGTGAGGGGCTGGAGAGATGGCTCAGTGGCGAAGAGCACTTGCTGTTCTTGCCGAGGACACAGGTTTGGTTTGAGTCACCCAGCTGGCAGCTCACCAACGCCCCTAACTCCAGAAGCTACAACACTTTCTCACCTCTGGGATCACCAAGTGCTACACATACGTGCATGCAGGCAAAACGTGCACAAACATAAAATAATAAAATGTGGAAGCAACAACAATAAGAGGCATGGATGGGGAAGACGATTGAGTAAGTAAAGCGCTTGATGAACAGATCCCTGGTACCGAGGTAAAGCACTTGTCATCCCAGCACGGGGGAACTAGAGACGGAAGGATGCCCTAGCCAGCTAATGTAGAGGAGTTAGCGAATTCCAGGTTCGGTACCAGAAGATAAGGTGGAGAGCAATTGAGGAAGGCACTCAGAGTCAACCTCTGGCCCCAACCACATGCAACACAAGCACAAATATACAACACACAGTACAAAAAGCTGAGTATGGCGACTCACGGTGAGATGCCCTTAGGCCAAGGCCAACCTGGGCTTGTGGGACAAACTGCTTTAAGATCCTTCAACACAGAATCTGGGAGTGGTGCACGCACCTGTGTCCTCAGCACTGCAGAGAGAGGGCCAGCCTCTGCTACACGAGATGCTCAGTTGACACAGCCTTGCTGGCACCTGTCCCATACGTAAGGTACACATCTTCCTCCTCAGACTCCAGTCTCTGCGAACACAAGGAGGCCTCCTGTCAATCAGCCACAGTTTCTCATGGCCCGCAGCATGGAGACGCCGTTGTGTGGCATGAGAAGCTACCTGCACTTCTCCAAAGCCTTCAAAGGGGACGCGTTCAAAAGACGCAAACAAAATGGCCTTTGCCCTAAAATGTTTCATGCCACAATTTTATGAGCTTGTTCTGCTATTGTGTTTTGAGACAGGGTTTCTCTGTGTAACAGTCCTGGCTGTCCTAGAACTTAACGCTCCTGACAAGGCTGGCCTCAAACTCACAGAGATCCGCCAGCCTCTGCCTCCTGAGTGCCGGTGTTAAAGGCACGCGCCACCACCGCCCTCGAACATGGATATCTTAACAGTGGCTACACCACTAAAGAGAACATTTCTCCTACCCACAGGTACCCATTAACTGCCTATTGATCCTCAGCAAGGGATGGGAACTTACAAACATTCCCGCTCCCACGGCAGGAAACTGATGGATGCAGTATCTGTGCAGGTAATCCGGGCTGTGACCAGGAGTGAAGCAGCCTTGCCTGGAGGGCAGCATTCCACAGCAGTCCGCCCGCCCTTCCTCCTGTCCCTCATTCCTTCCGCCCTGTCTGCGTTTGCTGGGCTGTAGCTCAGTGTTACAGTGCTAGCTTAACATGCACGTGGCCTGGGTTCAGGTTCAACCCTCAGTACTACATAAACCAGGTACAGGGTCATGTGCCTGTAAGGTCTGGAGATCAAAGCAGGAAGAGCGGAAGTTCAGGGTCATCTTCAGGTACACGGAGAGTCCAAAGCCAGCTTCAGACACACATAGACCCTGTCTCTCCAAACAAACCAAAAAAAAAAAACAGTAAGGAAACCTTTTGTGTTGCTATAGCAAAATGCCTAAAGTTGGGTTCTTTATGAAGAAGTTGACTTGGCTCAGGATTCTGGTAGCCAGAAATTCCAAACATCAGTCTGTGTGTGTGTGTGTGTGCGTGTGTGTGCGCGTGTGCGTGTGTGTGTAGGAGATCACATGGGGAGAGGAGAGAGACAGTGAACTGAGGACGCTGACCCCACTTTACAGCACCTCACCAGGAATGACCCAGTCTCCGGAGCCCTGACCTACTTCGGTGAACTAATGCAATGAGAATGCACAAATCACTTCCACTCGATGCCCCAGGGCACGCTCACCTTCCACTAGCTCCCGCCTCCTAAAGGCCAGCCACCTCTCGTGGCCATACTAGAGATCCAGTTTCTAGAACTTTGGAGGATAAGCTACGTCCGAGCTGTAGAGAACACCCTCAAAGGGCCAGTTCAGCTTTCTGCACGTTTCCTGCCTGCCTGGGTGGACTGGGCTTCTGCTGTTCTTGCTGTCGCTCGCCTCCCATGCATTGGCCTCTCAGGGCATTTTAACGACAACGCCCTCTTGCCCACGTGTCCCCCGGTACACAGCCACTTGCTTGTGAGTTTCCAAGGCAGAGCTTTCCTCCCTCCCTGCCCCTCCCCGAGTAAGGCTCCTCCTGTCGGATCTTTTACATGCCATAGTACACATGTGGAGGTCAAAGGTTAACGTGTAGGAGTTTCCTTCCATTCATCATGTGGGCTCCGGAGATCAAACTCGGGCCATCAGGCTTAGTAGCAAGTGTCTTTCTCCACGAAGCCACCTTGTCATTGCCCATGAGACAGGGTCTCATGTCACCCAGGCTGGCCTCCAACTCAATATGTTATAGAGAATAAAAATCCTCCTGC